CCACCATATTGATAAGGTTGATTTCTTGGATACGTACCCAGAAGCACGTTCTCTTGCCTTTAAAGAAGCGACTATACGCAACGCCTTCAAAGCTTCAGGATTGGTTCCATTGCAGCCGGACGAGGTTCTCAGTAAACTGGTTATACAGCTCCGTGAGCCTACTCCAACCGGCAGTATTACCACTACATCAACAGTGCCAAAAACGCCCAAAAACACGAAGCAATTAAGGAGGCATGAAACTACAATTGAAAGGCTTCTTCGTGAACGTACAATCAGCCCGTCCTCGCAGATGAAAGCAGCGTTATCCTATATTGTAAAAGGATGCGAAATCGCCATCAACCGGGCTGCTTTACTTGAGCAGGAAGTTGATGAATTACGAACTGGTTTGGAGAGGCAAAACGCTAAGAATAAGAGGTCTCATCGCCAAATGGCTGGTCTAAATGGTCTTACCGTTGACGAGGCCAAAAAACGCGTTTAAAAGAGTTTGTGAAGCTGATCAAGTTGGTGGAAGTCAGTTTGAAGAATCAGCTGCCGGCGAGGAACAACCTCGCCGCCGGGCACCACCTCGCTGCAGCGATTGTAATACAATTGGGCATATAAGAACAAGGTGTCCAACACGTCAAAACACCAATTAAACATGTTATTTTGTTGGTATATGGTGTATATAAGCTTCAACTTTTCATGGAAGGCTGTTAGGGTGGGCGTGGGTGCCGGTTCGCTTACACCGCCGGTTCGCTTACCGATTACGTTAAGGATAACTAAGCCCTTTTTCTCCACCTTCAGGAAAGCAACTGAAGCGAACTGCTTTACTACAGGTCCCCGGGTTTTATGCGCACAATCAGTCCTTCCTTCGCATGCGTGCACTTGATCTGGAAATTGCTACCCACTCTCTTAGGGATCAGAACGAAGTACACCCCAGAAAGCGCCATCAGGGCAGCCAGCTGAGGACCGGGTAACTTGGCAGTAGGGCTGTAACAGAGCCGGTAGATCCCTCACCCAGACCACATGGCGCAAGGAGGGGGAAAGGGATTCGATGGTCATGAGTGGGCTGGCATACAACAAAGTTGGAAACTAAAGACGACCTACAGAATAGTCGAATGTATCTTCTTACCCGTCTAGCAATACCTGATATCTAGGTAGCAGGGTGTTTCCATACAGAAAGTCCATCATAAGCCTTAGACCAACCCTAATATTTGTCTCTATCAGCTTGTCCTGTGCACAGCAGACCATATTCTCTATCAGGATATATGACAGTAGGTACCCTGTAGTACTGTACCAAGCCACAAGATACTTACCGTACAGTCAGCACTTTGACAGTTCTTTGACATAGCTTTCACCTCAACCATTCTTTCTGATCATGTGCAAACAAGCAAAGGAAACCCTTACTCGGCTTATCTATGTCCAACAATAGTCTCATAGCCCTCAAGCATAGTGCTTAGCACATCTCACACCTGCGCCGGGTTTAAACCAACGGTGGGAAGCTTGTCCCCGCATCTCATCACACCACACCCAGCCAAGCAACCGGAGATAAGTCTACGCAACCGACTCAGACAGATTGCATGCGTGTCTTTCTGCCTAGCGCTTAGAAATCGTCTCGCCTGTCTTACAAATCCATCTGAAGCTCGAGCTCCCCCAATTGGGGGAGCTATCACCTAGCCCTAGCTGGTTTTCCCCAGTTTCTTCCTCCACATCGGACCAAACACTCTTGATCCAGAGATTCAATCCCTAGCCACATACAGTGTAGAGTACTCAGCGATGGCACCTTTTACCGGCCTACGGGCCGCATTGACACAAATTTACCCCCCAAAGCCCGTTTTCACCGAAGCCGATGTTCCCGCCGCCTCGCTGCAGGGCCAGGTGTATATCGTGACCGGTGGCAATGCGGGGATCGGTCTGGAGCTGGTTAAGATCCTCTATGCCGGTGGCGCTACAATCTACATAGCATCTCGTTCCAAGGTGAGCGCGCGCAGCGCTATCCCGCTCAATACCTACAAAACAGACTCTGACTCTCTCTCTCTCTCTTTCATCAACTGCCGTGCACAGGCCAAAGTCGATGCCGCCATTCAAGACATCACAAGCCAGTCATCCAACACCCCAGCCACCAGCGGCAAACTCAAGTTCCTGCATCTGGACCTCAACGATCTAAAGACCGTGACAGCCGCGGCCGCCAGCTTCGCGGAGCAGGAGTCCAAGCTGGATGTGCTGTGGAACAACGCCGGCACGGGCGCCAACACGGTCCCTCTCGGCGAACGCACCGCGCAGGGGTTCGAGCTGTTCATCGGCCGCCACTGCATCGCGACCTTGCTCTTCACCCAACTGCTCGTCCCGCAACTCCGCGCCGCTGCGGCCGCCTCCCCCAGCAAGGGTCAAACGCGCGTGATCTGGACGTCGAGTGCGCTGGCGGAGGTGGGCTCGCCGCCCAACGGCATCGACTGGGCGGTCATCGACCAAGGGACCAACAAGCTAGCGCAGAACTATGGGGTGTCGAAAGCGGGCACCTGGTTCCTCAGCCGGGAGTTCGCGCGGCGGTACAAGAAGGATGGGATTGCCAGTGTGTGCTTGAACCCGGGCTACCTGAAGACGGCATCGTTCAACGGGACCCCGGCCCTCGTCATGTTTATCATCAACCGGGTCATGCTCTCGGAGCCCATCTACGGGGCGTATACAGAGCTGTTTGCGGGGCTGTCGCCCGAGGTCACGCTCGAGACCAGCGGGGCGTATATCATCCCCTGGGGACGAATTCGGCCGGACACGGCCACGGGGCGGCAGGATCTGATCAAGGCGGGCGACTCCAAGGAGGAAGGAGGATTGGGGTATGGGGAAAAGCTGTGGGATTGGTGTGAGAAGCAGTGGGTGCCATATGTCTGAGGATGGGGCCGGGCCGGGGAGGGGGAGGGGGAGGGGGAATGAGGGGAATTGTAGCCGGAGTCGTTAGTTTCACTTATTTCAATCGAATGAACAGGTTGGTCGCAATAGTAATGTGATCAGCGGGAAACAGGTCGGGTGTTTGGTCGGCACCAATATCGTCGGTATGTGATGAATCATACTGTTGAACTTGAAAACGGAGCGAACACACGAATTCTTTCTAAAAGGTTCTCTAGACTATGCGTCCATGCAGAGTCGGTATCCGGAGAACCGTCCGGAATCGGCGACGATAGGTGTGGCATGGTCCACTCTGAGCAACCGCATCAGTCACTTCCTCAGCATCCATGGACCTAGTATAACGGTCGACTCGGCCTGCTCGGCCAGTCTGGTGGGCGTGGATGTGGCCTGCCGGTACCTGACACCCATCAGGCCGACGGCATGCTCGTGGCAGGGGCCAGTCTGTGGCTGACGCCCGAGCACAACGAAGAGCACGGGAAGATGCGCATGACGCAGTCGGCCACCGGCAAGTGCCACAGCTTCGACACGAAGGCCGACGGTTACGCCAAGGCCGAAGGGATGAACATCGTCTACCTGAAACGGCTGGACGACCCCTGCGCGATGGAGACCCGATCTGCGTCGTAATTCTGGGTGTCGACGTCGAGACGGTGGAGAAATATCTCGGCCCGGAGAGCAATGTCCAGATTGCGTGCTACAACAGCCCGAGCAGTCTCACCATGTCTGGCACGGCTGCGGCGCTGAAATCGCTGGAGGCGCGCCTGAAGCAAGACGGCCACTTCGCCCGACTGCTGCTCGTGGAAGATGCTCCTCTCCAATGCTCCGAACGTATCTCCGGGCAAACCAACAGCTAGGATGTACAGCTCCGTCACCGGTCGGGTCCCATTGCTCAGATCAAGAAGGCCCTGTCTGGTGCTGCTGCAGATGCGCCGTACACCTCAGCCTTGAAGCGGGGACCCGACTCGATCCAGTCCCTGTACAACGTAGCCGGTAAGCTCTTCCTAATCGGCGGATCGGTGGAGTTCCGCAGGGTCAATCGCATACACGAGTCCAAGAAGCCCTCGGTCATCATTGACCTGCCCAACTACGCTTGGAACCACTCCCAGCGATACTGGCATGAGACCCAGGCGAGTCGGAACTGGCGGTTCAAGAAGTTCATCAGCCACGACCTGCTGGGATCGAAGTTGAACGGCACTACCTGGCAAGCCCCCATCTTCCAGAAGACCCTGCGGCTGGGCGACCTGCCTTGGCTGCGAGACCATATAATGGGCAACCAGATCATCTTCCCGGGCGCCGGATGTTGCGCCATGGCGGTCGAGGCCATGTACCAAGTGGCTATGGTCATCAAGTGGGAAGAGAAGGAGCCCGCGCGATGCCAGTTCCGCTTCCGCGACATTCGCTTCCTGCGGGCCCTGGTACTCGAGGAGGAGGCGGTTGGCCACCCACACCCTGGCCTTGAGCCCGGCGCGTGGCGGGTCCATCCAGGACTGGTACGAGTTTAGGGTCTGCTCCACCAAGGAGGGCGTTTACACCGAGCATTGCGCAGGGTTGATCGCCGTCGAAACCAATTACACGGAGAAGACGGCCCGGCGGGTTCCCTGGAGCCCTTGCAGCTTGTGACGCCGGCGAGCATGATCTACAAGGCCGTGCGCGAGTCCGGATACAACTACGGGCCCTGCTTCCAGAAGCATCTGCTCTTCGAGGCCACCATGGGCAAGGCCGAGAGTCGGTCGACCGTGGCCATGGACACGCCCCCGTCGACGTACGGACAGTCGTTCTATCCCATTCACCCGGCCAGAATCGACGCGTGCTTCTACATCGGAATCCTGGCCATCTCCAAGGGCGACATTCCGCTCGTCGGCGCCGTCCACGTGCTGCAGATCCTTAGCAGCCTCGTGATCCCCATGCGGCACGAGCAGCCCGCCGAGGCCAGCGCGATGGCTTCGGCGCGCTTCCTGGGCATCGGCCGGGAGGACCTGCACCGCAATTATGGCTCGGACCTGTCGCTGTATGACCCGCGGGATGGGTCGCTCATCTTCGAGATGAAGGGCCTGACGACGCGCGACATCGAGACCAGCGAGGAGGAGGGTGCCAAGCATCTCTTCACCCACCTGGCCTGGGAGGCGGACCTGCACCTGTTGCTGTCCACACCGGAGCCCAAACTCCGGCACTTCTTGCGCGAGACGGACAAGTCTGTGCAGGATCTCATCAACCTCGTGGCCCACAAGAACCCCACACTCAAGGTGTAGGAGGTGAACCTAAGTCCCAAGGATACCTCGAGTCTCTAGGTCCAGGAGGAGTCCCACCCCATCCGAGCCGCGTGTGCTCAATACCATTTCGCCGTGAGTGACCCGACCACTCTAGTCACTGCCCAAGGACTGCATTCGCCTCATGCCCCGTCCGCTCAGTTCAGCCTGCTGGGTACCACCAAGACCCATGCATTCGCAGCAGACACCAAGTTCGGCCTTGTGATCGTTAAGGCTTCGGAGCCCGTTGAGGCTACGATCCTAGACAGACTTCTGAAGACTGTGTCCCAGTCGGTGGAAGATGGCAGTGTTCTCCTCGGCGTAGGCCACGGCGTTGAAGTGGGCGCATTAGGAAACCCTCGGCTTTTGTTGGGGGTCTCCATGAGATGTTGCATAGCATTGAGCTTGATCACACATCGGCAGTCTGGCTACTCAGCACAACGACAGACTGGAGCGGTTCGAGACTCTTAGAACAGCTTCATTTCAGACGCCATTGCATCTCTTGATATTACTTGATACTCCGTGCTTGAACTGGTAGCCCACCCAGGTGCGAAAGAGACGAGGCACAGTACTCCACCATGCTGGGCGAAGACTGGCATTGTTTTTATGTCGAATGACAAGTATCAACGCAGAGTCGAGTCTGCTCAACACTGATGAGGGATTATGCGAGAGTTGCCATTGTACTATATTATCGAACCTCAACCCCTGCAACACGTCAAAAGCAGGGACAAGCAGCCTTGATCATCCAGTTGATTCTCCCTCTTCTTCCTAACCTCCATCTCCGCGATCTCCCGTTCATCAAGAATACAAATGACAGCCAGGACATCGGCGCGCCCATCATTCTCGCTCGTGCCGCGATAGAACGCCACGGCCTTGAAGTATTCTTCCGGGTATGACACTCGGTATGACAGGGCCTCCTCCTTGATCACCTCGAGGACGGTCATACCACCGGAGCCACCAACGATGCCGTTTTCCACATCACCGCCGATGTGATATCGCGCCCACACTGCATCCCCATACCTCCCGTCGCGGATGGCATCGAGATATACAGGAGCCCACGGGTCATTGGCCGTTCCGAGACGATCTTCTTGGATATCACGGATGGAATAATCCAGGAATAGCTGCTCTGGTAGCCTGTCTTCTGGGGCTTTTGAATCCATCACTTTATCCTCATGTTAGCGAGGCTTCAGGGATTAGGAGGCGTGTGCAGGCTGCTGCTGTTACCTCTGTAGACTGGTAAAAGATATGCCACAGGATGGGAACTTAGGAGCTGAACGCTGCGAGTGAGACCAGGGGGAAGTTGTGAAAGAGTCCTCAGTGATGGTGGGGTTAACGCCTAACTGACCGCTCTTATGTTCCTTTATCTTGTATTTGTATTAGGTGACTTAAGCCACATTGCGCTACTATACAAGGTTATACTTGTGTTGTACTTTAGGCTACAGTGCGTAGGCAGCACTGAGTTCAACCTAGAGTTGGAAACAAACCCCCTCCCCCACACCCAACAAAAAGAAAGAAATAAATAAATAAAATTATTCAATTATTGGAGGAATCTAATTTAGCAGTTAGATGGATCATAAGCAGGTACTAAGTAACCACATTCAAAGGCCTCCCCCTGCACCACTCCTCCACCGACAACTTCAGCCGCTGCGAGTAATTCGCCATCGTCCTCTGGGCCAACCACGCCAGATGCGGCGTCACGATCAGATTCAGCCCCTCGGTCCCCTCAGCCAGCAAAGGCGAGTTGTCCGGCCCCGCAGGCTCCTGGAAGAAGACATCCGTCGCTGCGCCGGAGATGCGATCTTCCGTCAACGCGCGGACCAGCGCGTGCTCATCGATGACGCCCCCGCGCGACACGTTGACCAGCACCGCATGGGGCGACATGGCCTCGAACTCGGCCGTCGAGATCAGATTCCGCGTCGAGTCCAGGAGGGGCACCGCCACGAACAGGACCGTGCTCTGCCTGACGACGGTCTCAAACGGAACTCTTTCGATCCCATCCTTGCCGATATCTGCAGATGTCGTCGGCACTTCACCCAGTGGCTTGCGGTCGGAGATGATCACTTTCATCCCCATGCCGCGTGCGAGATGCGCGATTCGCTTACCTGTTTCTCAACTGTCAGGAAAGTCACATGAAAACATCAACAATTATTCTGGGTCAAGGGCATCTATCTCACCAACAGCCCCATTGCCGATAATGCCAGCCACCTCCTCCTGACAAGTCAAGGGGGGCGCGCCCGCCTTGTCGAGGAAATCGAACATCAGCGTCTTCCGCCGCGGCCATGCGCCGGCGCGCGTCAGGGCGTTCATCCCCAGGATCTTCCGGCGCGCGGCCAGGTGCAGTGCGATGGCGTGCTCCGAGACGGATTCGGTGTTGGCTCCCGGGATGTAGGAGACGACGATGCCGCGTTTGCGACACGCCTCCAGGTCGATGCAGTCGGTGCCCACCGCCACGACCATCACCAGCTTGAGATTCGGGCTGACCTCGACAGCGAGGGCATTGGCGTCGATGCGTAATGCGGAGAGGACGATCACTGACGCATCGTGGATGCGCTCGTGGAGCTCTGAGAGAGAGGTCTGCGGGTAGACGGTCTTGGTGTAGCTATGAGGGGCGGGAAGGTCGAAGTCGAGGATCTCCACGAAATCACCCTGGAGGTAGACGATGTGATGATGGGTGGAAGAGATCTGTGTCATTCTTGCGGCTGAGTCACTCAGAGATGTGTATAGATAGACGGACTACTTCGTCGGTGGTTGAGGGACAACGTCAAACTTCTTATACTGACTCGAACTTCTTCCCCTCTTCGATCTTCCTTCCGCGCCTTATCAGTGACATCTGACCCACCGTGCCCGGGCGAAGCGCTTCGGCTCTCATCGCCTCCATGTTTCGAGTCAATTACACAGCGGTGTATGAGTTACTACAAGCTTCCTGAAATGACTATAAATAGAAAATTACATGCCTGAGCCCGTATGCAAGCCGTTTGGTCAATTACTCGCACGACTTCATGAAAACTGCTTACAGCATGGGGCGGACCTCACTCTTCACAAATATCCCCTGGAAGTAGTGAGCCAAATCAGCAACATCCTCCAACTCCCCCATCCATCCAATATATTGATCGGGCCGCATGGCAATCAAACCTCCCCTCAATCGATCCACTCCCCAGGTTTCGTATCCTTTACCGTCGGATTGTTGGCCCCAATTACATGCACTATCACTCCATACCTTGGTAAGGTCGCAGCCCTCATTCTCATCAAAGTGGTACACAACACTGGGAAACATATCCAACTCTACATCCCCGAAGGGTGCGCTGTGGATTGCTTTGACATCGATGATTGAGTCAAGCTTGTTTTTGGCCGGGGTGAATTGCCTGAGCAGACGAGCCAATTCATCGCCGCATGTCCATACACGACTTGCTTGTGCCCTTGATCGCACGTCTCCAGCTAGAAGCAGGATCCGGAAGCGCCCGTCACTCTCCAGCATCTTCGTGGTCCACGAAGGCAGGCCATTGGCTTGACTTCGAAGTCTCACCGGAACAAGTTTCTCGCCGGGGGTAAGGTGTTGGGCTACTGCCTTTGACTGCTTGCAGACTAATGGACTCTCGCGGTAATACGAAGTGTGGCCCTGAGAGAAATGCTCTGTCTTGCGCAGAACGTCCCTCATCGCTATCAATGTCTCTTGTGCCACCGGGGCTGCGTGACTCTTTTGCCGTTCCTGCTGTAAGAAAAGTGCAGACCATTGACGGTCAAAATCAAGGAGCATTTCGGCCAAGGGGTAACGCTCGGACTTGTACGTATCGAGGATTGAGGGCTTTGCGAGTCCCTTTGCAACAAGGGCGACCTTCCACCCAATGTTGAATCCGTCCTGCATGCTCATATTTAAGCCCATGCCCACCTTAGGCGAGTGAGTATGAACCGCATCTCCAGCCAGATATACGCGGCCCTTCGCATTCGTTTGTGCAATTCTCCGACCGACCTGGAGGCGCAGACCAATAAGGCACAAGTTATTGATGAATCCAGGTATGGGGCTAGGGTAAGTTGAACATGCCTGGTATACGGTCCACCAATCACAAACATCGAAGTCGAAATAGAAAGGACTCATTATCTTCTTCACTCTTAGTCGGACTGCTTCTAGGGTCACTGCCAACCGATCGAACTTCTGGGAAACCTCGTCTTCCTCCTGCAATGGTACATAAAACCGGACCAGGTTCTTTTCCCTTGGCACGATGAGGACTGTGCCTGATGCATTGGTTAGACTTCCAATCCGACGTATATCCGCTGTAAAATCACATTAGCACCATGGTTCTCCTACGTGCGTGAAATCAGACACTGACGGTAGTTAGTGATGGGAACGATGTCGATAACTCCCCTGGAGCACAACAACCACGTTAGTTCTCAACAGCAAGCTCTGTGAGCAACAGCGCTTCGCTCACCTACCATATGTGATCTGTGGTCGAGCCTTCGAAGGGGATATTGAGCTGCTTCCTAGTCCAACTGTGCGCTCCATCGCAGCCAATCACATATTTGGCCTTGAGCGTCTCGACCGTCCCAAACTTGTGCTTGCGACGCTGGATCGTGTCCTTCTGATCATCACCTTCCACCGCATGATTGAGAGACCTGTCCGAGACACCGTGAGCCGGCGCTGGGGAAGCTTCTTCCTCACTAAGTGTTCTCAGCTTGAGCGTAATAGGATACGCTTGTGGGTCGCTCTCAAGTCCTTCATCATATTCCAACGACTCGCCGATGACGCCCATCTCCACTTCGAGGTTAGAATGTTCTGCGATGGCGTCTAAGAGGAAACGCTCGATACGACCCTGGCTCAGCGCAGCGATAGCGTATGGTGGACTAGGTTCCAAGTCCGTGGTAACTTGGCGGCACAGTTTTCCGTTCTCATCAGGCCCCTATGTTGATGGGTCAGTTGTGTGGTCTGAGTCCTGCACTTGCAGAAAATGCTGACCCAAGACGTCATACTAAACACTTCATGACCTTCTTGGAGGACTCGCTGGGCAACGCCAATACTGTCGAGCAATTCCAGGGTTCGGCTCCTGAGTCCATCTGCATGGCCTCTGAAGACCTTGGTCCCTTTCTTGTCGATGACGCGAGCACCAACGCCACAGCGCGCCATCCAGTAGGCCGCCATCAGCCCCGATGGGCCTGCCCCGATGATCAGCCTGCGCAACAGTAAGTGACAGATAATCGAAAGCGGAATCCAAAAGAACGTACACATCAGTAGAAGACTCGATTGTTTCGGCCATAATGAAGGGTAACGAGTTTCAGAGACTTCTGTCGCCCAAAAAGCAACGTAGAGCAAAATTGGCGTCCGTTTCGAAGGTGAAGTCGGGGGAAATTGAGCCATTGTAACGTCGGAGGGAGGTGGACACCAACGTACATTTAGTGCCCGAACAACTCAAAGGTGACCTGGATCATACGTCGTGTCGGCGCAGGGTTAAACTCCTCCACTGGCGATTCACGAGGTTGGCGCCAACTTATAGTTCACGGATGAGCAAGGACGCTCCTGATCGACAACATCTTCCCATAATCTGTGGCACCCGAAAACGCCGATAGGCCTCTTCGACTCCAAGATCAATGACAGTATTCGTGGTGTGTGTGTGTCTTTCTCTCCGATCGTCATAAATGGGCAGGAGGCAGGCAAGGGCTGTGAGTTAGTGGGCCAGCAACGTACATTAGTCGAGCTGAGGTAGGCGATCTATCGTATGCAAGTAAATGGCTTGGGCGCAAAACAGTGCTAACTGACTGACACATTGGGACGGGAGGCCTATGCGTGGCCTCAGGCAGTGCTGCTATGGTTGGACTAAAGACACTATAGTTACACACCACCACCTTAACCATGTAAGTATCTCGGTTTCCTGCCTCCCTGGCAGCACACTGCTTACTACTAACTTCTCACCTACCTGACAGCTCACGAGGTTTCTCTCACAGCACTCACTCTCTCTCCACTCCAGCACAGACGCGCTGCGCCTGAATATGTGGCTGGCAACCCGCGCGCCACCACGATCTCGAATGCCACGACACGACTGACCCTGCCGAAGAATGTGCGGCGCAGATTCGCACCAGATGAAAACGTCAAGATCGTCAGGGCCGTTACTTATTCCGGTACGATTATCGGACGCGCCTCGATGGCAAATCGCCGGGGAATGTGGGATCGCGGCGTTGAATGGACGATGAACCGATTGCCCCGGAATGCTGGGCGTGCAGATGATGCACTTGACAGATTCCTTCTCGTGGAGGTGGAAAGTCTTCTGTCGCATAAACATAGAGGCTGGTATACGGGCCAGAAGGCTATAAAATGATGGTCAGATTCGTGGTTCGAAGAGAAGAAGGAACAATCAGATCTCATTCAGCATCTTCACCAGACATAACTACTATATCTTCCTTCGCTGGCTTGAGTTCAAGCTCTTTTGCAAAACAACTTCGCAGTTCTTTGAACTACGCATCCTACTTCCTCCCAATAACAAACAAACAAACAAAAACCACACCCCACAACCGTCAACATGCAGTGGTCAACCGTGAGCACCCCACCATCCTCCCTCCAACCAGACCAAACAACATACCCCAAATACTAAAGCTAACCCCTACCTCCTCAACAGATCACCACAATCCTCACCCTCCTCCTCCTCAACACCACCCAGGCCTCAGCCTTCAGCATCGCCCGAGTCTGGGCAAGCTTCTACAGCGAGTGTCCCGCCGACTCCTCCGAAACCCCGGCCCCATCATCACCATCCGATGACCCCACCACCAGCAACACCAACAGCATCCTCGCCAACTTCTTCGCCTCCTTCTTCCAACGCACCGAAGACCAATCGGCCACCGTCGTCATCGACGTCTACTCCGGCACCTGCCAAGCCTTCCCCGTGGGCCGGCGCTACAACGCCGACGCCATCTCCTTCAACGCCGAGGCCGTCTACACGGGGCCCTACGACCGGTGCAACGTGACCGTGCACGAGGTGCCGGGCTGCGTTGACGCGCCGCTGATCGAGGTCCCCATCCAGGCGGACGGCAGCGCCGCCGCTACCTGCACCGAGCGCGAATTCCACTCCCTCTCGCAGATGTGGATCCTGCTTCACTGCGAGACCGACAAGAAGTCTTCCTCCTCCTCCTCCTCCTCCTCCTCCACCGGCACAAGCATCGGCAAAAGCAGCAGCACCACCACCAGCAGCAGTGGCAGCAGCAGTGGACAGCAGAAGCCCTCGCAACAGGCGCAACCTCACGGTGGTGATCACGACGAGTCTCAGTCACAATCATCGTCGTCCACGGATCCCAAAATCCCCGATATCCCCGCCATCCCCGCCATCCCCGACATCCCCAAGCTGCAACCCACGATCTTTTCCAAATTGCACGCGGCGCTAGAAAATGTCACCGCCGCCACCAATGCCGGTGCTGGGAAGGCTAACTCGACGGCTCCAGTTCTGTCGCGGTCGATGCGCCTGCGGCGCGCGGCGCGCACTCGCTTGTCGAATCTGTGAATCGATCTCTGCACTTCTTTCTGTTGTTGATGTTCTTGATTTGAGTTTTGTATATTTCGGGCCTCGTGTATCTTGTATATTTGCCAGCCTTTCAGCGATTGGGTGATGGATTTTTGTGGCGTCTGGAGAGTACAGTACAAGTGTGCAAAGATCTATAGAAGTGTTATGTATCATACAACAATATAATAAAGCTTTATGTTCAACAACGAAAACCATAATTATCATCTTACATAACCACTTATTCACATCCCGGAGTCAGAGACGAACTTCAATATACACGGGGGTCCGCAGACGCAACTTCGCCCACTTCCCCCTTATTTTTTGGGAAAGTAATCTCGACAAAAGAATACGAACGAGTTACTCAGAAGAGAAGCCACAGGTCAACCGATCCGTACAATTAGGACGCATAGACGCACAATAGAACGCCCTATAACTGCCGCCGCTGAAGACCTAGTATGAATCAAAAACCAAAGCTGTCAAGTAGGGAGTTCGCATCGGGCTCATGGAACATCGTTGGCGGCGGTTTCGGCGTCTTCGGTGATGCAGCAGCCGGGGTCTGCGGTTTAGGGGCCAGGCGCTCCTTGACCGGTAAATCTGCCACCACGAGACTACTCCGGCGTCGGAGCAGCTTCCGGTAATCAGGCTCCTCTTCTTGCAGGTCCAATGGAATCTCTTTCGTCTGTTTGGGGATTGGTAGCCCACCGAGGAACTCCCAGTGTCGAACGAGATCCAGTGCAAGAAGGTCACAGCCCATACGATCGTATAGACGAGCGTTGCGGGTGACAAAACTCCATTCCGCCTGCGGGGAGATTTTCGATGCTCCCTTGAGTGTTTGCAAGGTCTTTTCGCGGAGCTGCTTGTAAAGGACGACTAATGCAGGATCGTTGGAGAGGTACGACTTGGCCTGCAGAGGAATCATCCCCGGTGACCCAGGTGAAGATGGCGTAGGAGGTATGAGCGACTCGACGGGAGACTTCTCATCATTAGTATTTCTCGCCACGTTAGGGTCGCAGGAGTGAGTGACTCACGATCAACGATTGGACGGCCATCCCGCGACGTCCTAGCATCCAGAAAGCCCAAGAAGCCATCCATCGATTGCCAACGGCAGCAGCCTCAGGAAGCACCCTTTCCTCGAGAAGCTCCTTCAAGACAGGCCCATCATCGCCTTCATATGCACGGGTGATGGCAATGGCAAGCTGAAGATCACCCACCTGATTCACACATACGAGCGCAGCGTCGCGTATATGCCCAGCAAGTAGGAAAAATGTGGCAGCGTATTCTACGGAGAGTCAATCAGGGCCAGCTCCCGAAAACATCGGCGGGTAGAGGTAAACTCACCAAACCTCCGCTTCCCAAGTAGAGCATAAGCGTTCTTCAGTGCTGCTGTCTTCCATCGCGGTTCGTCGAAATTGTTTGACAGCAAACGTTGCGTCATCGCTTGCTCACGATGCCAATGCGCCATGCGCCAAAGCCCTTGGAGAATATTTTTCTTCCGGAGAGCAAGATAGTACAATGAGCAGTCGACTGGATTCTTCTCCTCGGTCTTGGTGTACTCATTTCGAGCAACCACCTCGAGTTGAGCCCGCTGGTATCTGTTAGTCTTATGTGGGAAACCGGTCGCTGTGATCTCGAAACTTACCACGGCAGCAGGGTTCGACAGCCACATAAAAATGCCGCTCTCACGAGCTGACTTCCAACCCACTTTTCCACCATACTGTCGCGAAACCAGATCGACCAGAATATCCTGGCTACCGCTATAAAACGCCCACACAATTTCTCTCCATGACACTGTATCGCTGGTGGCGACTCCCTGAGTTCTGCGCAGCAGATGTTGTCGGAAGAAGAGGAGATACCGAGCAGCATTGTCATCCATTGAGCGCCGGTGCTTCTCAACGGTGGCCACACATTCAACGGTGTCAACAAGCCGGAATTGTTCCTGGCTGGACAGCTGCGGTAGGGCAAATCGTGCCAGATTCTCATTGAGCGCAACAGCTATATTCTCATCCACCACGGTCACCTCATCCTCCAGGGACAGGTCGGCATACGATGAATTGAGCTCTTTTGAAGTCGCTTTCTGTGGGGTCTGGGATCGTTAGTGACACGATATCTCGATTGACGAGTCAAAACATACATCATGCTCGAGATAGAAGTCCTCCAGAGACATTTCCAGGAATCCATCGATGTCGTCCCCTTCCGTGTAGAATTTGAGTTTCCGATGAAGGTTCAGTAGTATGGAGTGCACCAAATTTGTTTTTCCGCTAAGGATACACTGCGCCAGAAATTGTGGATGGAAAACAGGTAATGATCCATTGAGTCTGCTCACGACATCAAACAGGTCAACTGTAGAAAGGCCACGAGCAGGTATACGGAGTTGAGATATCAGGTGATCAGCAGCACTGATCTCATTTTCATATATGAATAGTTGGTTTCCAGCTCCGATGGCGAGATGACCATTGCTAAGCCAGCAGGAGTCTCCAATGGGATGTGGTGTAAGATCACGGATCCAGATCTCTCGGATCTGTGTCCAGGACGGACGCGAATCAAGATAATCGTAGCGCAGTTGAGAGAGAAGAATGACTTTGTGTGGAAATCCAACTGCAAGGATAGATTGCATATCCGGGGTAGATGTCCAATCAAGGTCACGAATGGAGTCTTGCTGCGAAAAGTGCTCCTCGAATTCTAGCTGCGCATCGTTCGTATCCCATATCGTCAGATGTGTACGATCTTCGTCGACCAGAGCAGCTTTCCGAATGGAGCTACCGCTAGCCAGTGACAGGTTCGTGATGCCTGTTTCGACTGTAGATGTCAGGAGCCAATCGACGCGATTGTTGTCCCTATCAACCTTGGCCGTCCACGTCCTGACGGTGCCAGTCTTGGTGTATGACAGTGCAATATCCGGCGAGAAGAGATCGAAAAAGCCAGTCATTTCAGCTTTGCGCCCAGCTGGATCAACAGGTAAAATGTAGGCGATGTCCTCTTGGATGCCAAGGTGAAATGTGCAGAACTTGCGTAGACTGCATTCGGGCTTTCCCAGTTTCGAGTTCGGCAGCTGTATCTCCCAAGCTATTCCATCCATGCCACTCGCAATGGTTGCTATATACACGACACCATTCGACTCCGCAGCAGGAATCGGTAAGACACAGAGTGGTTTGCTGGAGAGCTTGAATTTTGCTGCTGCAAGCTTCGTCGCATGGAATGAACGAATATCCCAGACGGAAATCCCATCATGATGAAGATTCACAAGGAAGTCCCCGTCGCCGACAACACAGCTGCGATGAATATGTTCTTCTGCTATCAGTGTACTTTGCCGGAGCAGCGCTGATCCACCATCTCTCTGTTTCTGCCTCCATATCAATGCTTTGCTGTCATCCGTACGAGAGGCGAGTGTATCTCCAATGGCATTACGAACAATCTTCTTGATTGGCCCATTGTGTCCTGTCCATGATGCTCTCATGACAACTCGGTTCTTGCGGGGTGCTGGGTCGAATAGTACGTCAACCGGCGAGTCGAACCACTCAATCCGACCGTCGAAGTGGTGAACTAGGACGGCGATTGAGTCGCCCGGTTCTGTGCCCTGGAAAGCGCACAGCTGCGCATAGTCCTCTTCAATCGTCAACCCAGGCATGAACGCGAAATTCAAGCCCTCGACATGGAGAATGTTGAACACGTTCAACTCCGCCTTGGCCTTCGACCCAACGTCTTGCAACGCCCAGGCCGACATGTGTCCCTCGCCATCTATTACAACGCAGATTTCCGGGCTCTTGTTTGCCACTTCAATTATATGCTCCAAGGCGTGATTATCCGTGTTGCCTGTGCCACGCAGGACGGCCTTCTCGGTCGCAACGCAGAAATCCCGGCTGTCAACTATGAAGCCGTACCGACGAGAGGTATCCGTATCCTTTGTTGCATGTCTCGGCTGAACCGATGCGCCCATGTCGATCTGCGTCCAAAGTTGCAAGGCAGTCGAAGCATGATTGTCTATTGTCGCCCAGACCCTGATTTTATTGTCCGCGCACAGCGTGTAGAAGACATTGCCCATCGACTGCTCCCTATGGTAGGGTCTGCGCCAATGAATTCCAGTGACAACCGTCGGATGTGGAAGATAAGACACTTCGAACCGAATGTTATTCCCGAAGTTCAGCCTTCGCCAGACCTTCACCATGCGATCATATTGTCCGGCAGTGACCAAAAGCGTCGCATCGGGGGAGAACTGGGCGAACTTGACCGTGCTTGCCAGCGCTTGCTTCCACACCGGTCGCGGCTGATCGTTCAGAAACCAGAGGGTAAGGTGGGAATTTCCCAGAAGCAATTCATCGGGCGAGCCCCACGATAGGGTACGGATCGTCTCGTCGTCATTATCGCTGCGGAACGTTTGTACCAGGGACCACTATACAAAGAGAAGCATTTTCAGTATCACTGTCCTCGGCCTTGTTCTTGTCCGACTGTACCAATTTCTACTCTGTGTCATCTCAGCAGGAACCGACCTTGAGCGTTTCATTCTGGATCCCATATGGTTGGTATATAAAGACATCAGGTCCACCACACGCGGCAATCTTGCCGGAGACTTCGTCAATCGTCACTGCTTCTAAGACATCGGTATCGTCGACGTAAATGGTTTGTAGGAGCTTGTGTGGACCGCCGAGGATAACCAGTGCTTGGCCGGAAATGTACACCTAATACGAGACGACGCGCAAAGGCAATAGGTCAGCGAAACCGCAGAGAAATAACAACGAGGGGAGTCGCATAGGGGTTTCAGTAGCGAGCCTTACAATGACGCGAAGCCCATCCCACAGCGCAGTGCTGAACGACTGGAGCTTCGTCGGGGGCCTCCCCGGCAGTACCGCTCGCATAGAGGCGGTGGTTGTTGGGGGTGGACGCTTGTTGCGCACAAGATGAGGTTACACCATTGCCAGGTGCAGAGTCACAGAGCGTCTATCAAGAGGATAGGTAGTAAGAGACAAGTCAGCAAGAAAGGGTGACGTGGTGACAGGGAAACCGATGGGGTGGGAGTTCACTGAAAGAGGGGGGGGAGGTCACCCCCGATTGAACAAGCTAAGCTGTTGCTTCTCCGCTGCTCCTCCCGCCTTCCGCCGTGTGACCATCGGCCGATCACTTACAATCCGCTTCATTGTCCCTTTTGCTGTACTGTACTATACTGAACAAACAATGAATTTACAACGAGCATAGCAGGCAAGCTCAGCAATTTCGGGAGAGGGCATGTATATGTGGTGTTGAATAACTCAAGTGAAGTCATTATACAGTACATCGAATCCAAGTGTCTATGCATATGGTACGTCATTCATGACCGATATATAGGCCCAAAGTATATGTAACAGGAAGTGAAAAACCAGAGTCTACACGCTATCATAACAACGCAAACGGGTATCATGATCTTAATCAAGAAATTCAAGCAAGCCAACAGAGAAAGCCATCATCACAACTTGAAGATGATAACAAGTAGGGTGCTCATGTTCGTCGACCAGACGACCGCCGCCCGTCCGTTGGCGACTCGGGCTCTTCATCCACGAATCGAACACTTGTGCCAAGCGCACTACCTCGTCCCGCACGACGTCGACTAGAGAATGTTCGAGGTAAGGCGCCCGCGCGTAGTAGTCGGCTAGCAAAGGGTGTATACAAAGGCGTAGCCGGGGTGGTAGAACCCTGGGCCACTGGCGGCGCCGCCCGCTTGGTTGGCGATGTGAGGAAGTTGGGGGTCGCTAGAGGTGTTGTTGAAGTAGCCTGGGGCTCTGTAACATAGGTCTTGAAAGGAGTCTCGACCTGATAGTAGGGATCGAAGAGGCGTCGGTTCGTATCGAGTCCAAGGGGAGCATCGAGATTCCTCCGCGGACTAAGCAATGGCCCTGCGGTATCTCGCGCTTCCAGTTTCGCTCTTGCTTGGTCAAGCCAGTTGCGAAACATGCCACGTGTATGTTTTCTGAGGTTGCGCTCCTTCATCGCGTCGGCCATTTCAGAGAAGCGCCTGACTTGGAAGATGCGGAAGCTCAGCTTGCGAAGCTGTGAGCTGGCCTGTGATAAAGCATGAAAATGGTGTATACTGTTGGCTTGTTCCTCCTGGCGACGAACCTCGGCCAGATTCTCAGCCCAGCGAGTCAGTTGCTCTTGCACGTTCTGACGAGCGTAATGATTATCAGCATAACCACACTCTTGTATCCGAGTGATTGTCCTATCTTGCCATCGGCCCAGAAGCTCAGCTGCGATAACCAATACTTTCTGTCGCGAAAACTGTATAGCTTGATGCTCTAAATCAGCCACAGTGCGAGCTTTCGATAACCAGTGCAGAAGAGCATTAGTCGCGAGCTTGATTTTGTGCTTTCTCCGGGTCTTGATGTAGGCTTCCTGGCGACGCCGTTTGGCTGATTCTGTCGCAGCGGCACGCCACTGTTTGGTATACTTAATGGCTAGGAAGTAAAACCTGGCTTTTTGTGCCCATTCCTCGATCTTCGTCACATGCTGAAGCTTTGAGCGCCAGGCCACGAGCGATTCCTGAGCGAGACGCGGTGCATAGAACTCAAACGCAATGTTGTCTCGTTCATGTTGTACGGCAAGTTGATTCCGCCAACACAGGAGCTTAGAACGTAGTAAATCTTTGGTTTGCCGTCGTTCATAGGCTTCTGCACGATCGAGAAGTACTGAGTACGTTCCGCGCACATTTGTCACAAACTTGGAGAAGGTTTCATGCTTGATTCGTTGTTCCCGGATCCGCTGCATCAATCGAAATCGTTCGGCCAGAATCCACTTATACATAGCTTCCAGCTTCAGGCGTTCCTCAATGCGGGCGTGAAGAGCCTGGCAACGAAGCAGATCATTCCACGCTGTCCAGGCATTACGTACAATGCGGTGTCGATCCATTTCCCTTGCCTGCTGTAACATCTGAACCCTGTGAATCCATTGTTGATACGTTGATCGGAGAATTCTGTTGTCCACCATGTGTGAGACATGGGCAGCGACCGGCGCTAGATGAGTCTGAGCCTTCCATTCTCTGAAGGTCTCACCTAGAAGCTGACGTCTTTGTATCGAAGACGCTTCCTCTTCAATAACATTTACGTCTTCAATCCTGTGACGCCAGGTTTGCCAAGCTGATGTGAGGAAATTGTGCCTACTTCTGACTTCAATATCATGGATCTGCTCCCTATTTGTTCGAAACTTGCGCAGCCAATACAGCAAAGACCGTCTCTTGAGACAATGGTCATACCACTGAGGGGCACGCTGCTCGCAGAAGTGCCAGAACCATTGCCAGTAAGCAGCATTTGTCAACCTCTCGTCATGCATGGCCGCCGCTTCCGCCTCCGCCTGCCTGAGCTGTCTCGTCCTTTTCCTCCAGGCATTGAAGGGTCGCCGCAAGGCAAAGCGTTGAGCTTTCAGTTCGTTCACGGCGGTGATTTCTCGCCAAGCGTTGAAGTATTTGACACCGAGAATATGTCGGCGAGCAGCGGATGTTCTTGCAACCTCCTCCGAGGTAACTTGCGCCCAGTGAGAGAATGCTTTCGTCAACAAGTAGAGATCCCGAGCCCGTCCCGCGCGCTCCTCAAGATGATTGAAGAACCTTTGTGTTCGTTCCGCCCGACGCTTTTCGAGGATTCTCCCATGCCATGTCTCAAAAGCTTGGCGCAACAATGTGCCTCTGTCTCGGTTGGAAGCGACAACCTCCATATGCTGATGGGTCTGTCTTCTTTCCACAGCCTGCTTTAGCCACTGGGTCAGTATCCGGCGGTGAATCGCTCGTTGGCGATACATATTAAAAGTCGAGGCGTCACGCAGCAGGTCTGAAAGTGATGGCCGATAAAGTAGTTCTGGAGGGGCTTCGGGTCGCCCAAAGGAGCCGCTAGCCTCATCTTGAGAAGAAGAAAACCGATCCTCACCATCATCGGAGCTGCTCGGAGACTTTGATGGTTGCGAACGCGATGCCTCGGCTATTCTCTCGGAGCGGTCTCTATCAACAGCAGCACGAGCATACAAGCCATTTGGCATGGGCTTCTCCTCCGGTGCCGACCCTGATTGCGCTGCAGCCAGGAGATCAAACCGATTCATGAGCCGACGACCCACATCAAGGAATTGGGCAATCAATTGTGTTCTGTCTGGAGAGTCGGTGCCCTTGGAGGTGATCGCGCGCTTTGTATGTGGGGTGGATTCCGGAAAGGGATACTCGGGTTTGCCGATTTGGAGTCGCGACATCGAGGACCGTGAGCTCGGTCGGTTAATGAAGCTCCGTTGAGTGGGATCGTCACCGACGTCGTACATGGAATTGAACGAGGCGCGTCTCCGCAGAGGCGTTTGCATTTCGGAGTATGTCGGTTCAGTAGAATCCCCGGTAGCGTCGTGTCTCCTTTTCCTAACCCGGCTCTCAACCGAAGGCACAGTGTCAACGTATGTGTCCTCCTGCCCATCATCGTCCCCGATTTCAATCACGATTCCCATCCGTTCTAGCAAGCTTTCGAATTTCTCGAAGAGCGACTCCCCCGCGATGTCCTTGCTCCCCATCTTGAGCAAGAACCGCATGCAGGCGTAGCCCGGATCCGCGTCCACGCCATGTTCTGCAATGACCTGATCGTAAGCATTGAAGAGTACTCTGTACGGGAGGCGCTCGACTTCTGGATCGCGCTCGGCGCGAGTGATGACTTGGTAGAGGAGGCCGACATCTGGTGTGCAGCACACGAGCCCATGTTAGCATCCCGTAAGGGTTCGAGCAAAATTGCAATTGTCAAGTCACATACCGTCGTCTGAGAGCAACGGGTCTTCATAGGACAGAGGTCTTCGCTGGAGAGGAACGGGAGGCATCGAAAACTTCGCGGCCTAGGGCGCGTTTTGTCGCATATGGGTCATGGAGGCGGGAAAGGATATCAACCATTGCGAGGCCCTTGGTTGGGAAGTGACGGTGGAGTCTCAGAATGCTCAGGTCTGAGAGATATGATTATCGAAAGCGATCCCACCCGGTGGACCTGCAGACCCAATGGCTACTACGGCCAGTGAACGAGCATTGACTTCGGCGGAGGAAACCACTTAATTGTTTTGGCCTCGTGTCGCGCCGGACGATGGAATGCATTGTGGTCATGTGATGCATTACGTAATGTCGGTCTCTTTGCCTGCGTCGTCGCCATGGTCGATAATGCTGCCAATCACTTACTGACTGGGGCCTCTGTCAAGTGCCAGGCTGTAAGAGAATAATAAGCAAATGCCTTCAACAAGGACAAGACCTATTGAAAAGCTTGCCAAGGCCACGGCCAAATGCTCTGCAGAGGTATCCCTCACGTCCCTCCTGCTTGTCTCACACGACTGTCCCGTCAGGCATCATGTACACCCAACTGACTCGTGACTGGATCCTAGGCGGCTGCATATGGCAAATGTGTTGTTGCTGACTACAATGCGGTACACAAAGACATGTGTGCCAAAGAATTCATGAAGCTCAAACACTGTTTTCTGGTAGAGTGAAACACCGACATTCTCGGATGAATAGATGACTGATTTGTGTGCTACAGGCGGCCTCAAAGAAGGTTTAATTTAACTGAACTGTATTGGGCGGCAGAACAGAGGGTTTACTAGGCGTATTTGGACTGGCTGACCATGCATTATGTCTAAATGAATAAAGACGAAAATTCTTGTGTAATAAATTGGGATAGCGAAGAACTCATTTTATCTCATAACGGGAAAAAAACAACCACTGGGAATTGTATGAATCTAACTGTTGTCGTTGCACATCTTAACTTGGCCAAAAGTTTCTACAGTTTCAGCAACCGCAACAAGAAGGTGGCCTTCTGGACTTCTTGTTCTTCCTGAATGATCATCTGAGGCTCATCGCCACTTGGCAGCTTGCCGTCAATAAGCTCGTGGCGCTCAAGCGGTCTGCGCACAACCTTTTCGATAGCCTTGGCCTGCGTCTCAAACGCCTTGTTGATACCAATGTCTTCAGGGTCGGACAGAACCACGTACTCCATTTTCACATCGTCGGTGGGCACCAGACCGGCCTTCTTGCGGAGACGCTGCAGGCGGTTGATGATCTCACGGCCCAATCCTTGCTCGGCCAGGTCGGGGTACAAGTTCGCATCAAGGATGGTCACGAGCTCATTATCGGTATTCGATTCCATGTTAACCGACGAAGAATCCTCCTTTAGACCCTTCTTCACAACAAGATCGCCCTCGATAAGCTCAATGCCATCTACGAGCATCTTCTTTTCAGCGACGAACTTCTTGACGTCTTCACTGGTCAGCGAGGGCAAGGCCTTCTTAACCTTCTGGACATCCTTCTTCAACTTCTTGCCGAGGGTGGGCCAGTCAGCCGAAACACTGTACTGAACATTATATTTGGCCTCATCAGAAGAAAGAACAAGCTCAAGAACGTTCAGTTCTTCCAGAATGTAGCTCTGTAGAGACCTGACATCTTCCAAGTACTGCTCGTCCTGGTGAATGACGACAAGCGTTTTCAAAGGAGTCTTCAGACCGATGTTGCGTCGTTCACGGGAGGTACGGGCCATTTCGATGACCTTCTGCATCCGGCCGACTCTTCTCTCGACGACCTCGTCGAAAAGCTCCTCGCGCACCTCAGGGAAGGGGAGGAAGTGGACACTACGGCTATCCTCAGCCCGAAGAGCCTCGGGAATGTGGGGCAGGAGCTTCAAGTAGATAGTGTCGGTGAGGAAGGGGGTGAAAGGAGCCAACCCCCTGACCAGAGTGTACAAGACCTCGAAGAGGGTGTTCAGGGCGTGCTGGGTGTCGTCAACACCGTTCTCACCCTTCAAACGTCTGCGGTTGAAGCGGATGTACCAGTTGGTGGTGTTATCAATCAAGCCAAGCAGACGAGGGACCACAGTGTACAAACGGTATCCTGCCATCTCTTCGTTCACAAACTTGAGAAGACTCTGACAGCTGGCCAGGATCCAGCGATCCATGACATTGGTGTTGGTAGCTTCCGCCTTGGGGTCGAATACGTAGTCGAAGCCCTGGGTCTTCTTGAAGAGAGCAGCTTGTCCCTCGAAGAACTTATAACTGTTCCACAAGGGAAGCAGAACCTTGGCGACAATCTCCTTGACACCGGATTCCTTGAACCGGAGGGGCTCCGCTCGCACGACGGGAGAGTTGATCAAATACAATCTCAGGGCGTCCGAACCATATTTGTCCATGACCAGGGCCGGATCAGGGTAGTTCTTCAGACGCTTCGACATCTTCTTTCCATCTTCCGCAAGAACAATACCATTGACGACACAGTTCTTGAAGGGAAGCTTACCGAAGAGGTGAGTTCCCAGCACCGTGAGAGTGTAGAACCAACCACGGGTTTGGTCCAGACCTTCCGCAATGAAGTCACCAGGGAAGCTCTTCTCGAATTGGTCCTTGTTCTCAAAGGGATAGTGTTGAGAAGCGTAGGGCATGCTACCTGACTCGAACCAGCAGTCAAACACTTCGCTCACACGGCGAAGGACACCCTTGCCCTGCTTGCTTGGAATAGTGATGTGGTCAACCTTATCGCGGTGAAGGTCGGTGAGCTCTCCCTCGTAGCCGCTAAGCTGCTTCAACTCTTCGACGCTACCAACCGCAACGACTTCCTTGAAGTCCTCGCTGACCCACAGCGGAAGGGGAGTACCCCAGAAGCGATTGCGGGAGATGTTCCAGTCACGGGCATTCTGAATCCAGCTAGAGAATCGGCGTTCCTTCACGAAACTAGGCACCCAGTGGGATTCCTCGATACCTTGAAGCATCTGTGGGATGATAGGACCGATCTTGACAAACCATGCAGGCACGGCTCTGTAGATCAAGGGAGTATCGGAGCGCCAGCAGAAGGGGTAGCTGTGAGTGATCTGGCTGTCAACGATCAAGCGACCAGCTGCTTTCAGGTGCTTGATGATAGCCCTATCAGCGGCCTTCACGTGCTGCCCTTCGAAATCCTTAACCTCGGCGGTGTAGCAACCAGTTTCATCGACAGGGTTGGGAGGGCTGCGATCTTCATTGATGACACCATGTTCCACGGAAACCTTGTAATCGTCTTCACCAAAAGCGGGAGCTTGGTGAACGATACCAGTACCATCCTCGGCGGTGACATACTCGGCGGTCAAGACACGGAAGCCGAATTCCTTGAATTCTTCGTAGAAGTAGTCGAAGAGAGGCTGGTACTTCCAGTCCTTCATGTGCTCACCCTTGAAACGGTCGACAATCTTGAATTTCGCCTTCTTGGGGTCCTTGTACAGGGTACGGAGCAGGGATTCGAGGAGAACGTAGTGCTTTCCGGAGGCTTCGTCAAGGATCTTGATGTATTCGAAGTTGGGGTTGACTGCGAGAGCGATGTTGGAAGGAAGAGTCCACGGCGTGGTCGTCCAGGCAAGGAGGGCAGTCTCGGGGTCGTCCACGAGGGGGAATGTGACCACAACGGCGGGATCCTGAACATCCTTGTAGTTCTGCTGGGCCTCAAAGTTACTGAGGGGGGTGTTGAGGGCAGTCGAGTAAGGCATAACACGGTAGCCGCGGTAGACAAGACCCTTGTCGAACAGCTGCTTGAACACCCACCAGATAGACTCCATGAAGCTAGCATTCATGGTCTATGATACTTGATTAGAGAATACTTTTGAAGCTGAATGATACTTTGGAATGACGGGGTGTTCAGGCGACACGAAGACAAGAAACCAAAGTAGCGCAGAGACCTACCTTGTAGTCATTGTCGAAGTCAATCCAGCGACCTAGTCGCTCGATAGTCTCCCGCCATTCCGAGGCGAATCTCATGACAATGGCTCGGCACTCCTCGTTGTATTTCTCGATTCCAATCTTCTGAACGGCCTCCAGACCCGACATTCCCAGCTTCTTATCAATCTCATATTCGATGGGAACACCGTGGGTATCCCAGCCAAACCGACGCTCGACATAGTGACCCTTCATAGACCAATAACGGGGGATGATATCCTTGATGGTCGAGGCTAGCAAGTGACCGTAGTGAGGAAGACCAGTCGCAAATGGAGGGCCATCGTAGAAGGTGTAAGGCTCGCGGCCCTCGGAGAGTTCGACCTGTCTCCGGAAAGCGTTGATTTCCCTCCACCTCTTGAGGATGGCCTCCTCTTCACGAGGAAAATCAATGGACATGACGAGCAGGTGAGTGCAGTCGTCGACAAAGGGAGGGGAGAGGAGGCTGCAATCGATACGATCTGCGCAGAGAGTGGATGGCCGCGGGGTAGAAATAGAGTCGTGCGCACGATAAAGTCGTGAGTCACCCCGCGGTTGGAATTTTAGCCAAGCTGCACAAGGAAACCAACCTAGTGCGTGCCCCGCCTGCCGCCGGAATGAGGCGCGCCGCGACTCAAGGTTCCTAGCACGTAGCCACAATACTTATTATCCACATACGTCTAGCTCTCCTACACATGGAACCTGAACCAGCTGGACCATAATTAATCATGGACATCTACAGGATCTTATTTTGTCTATCATCCGACGACAGTGAGGGCTGATGCATAGTCCAGCTCTCTCGACGCTGCAACCTACTCATCCTCTTCATCATCATCCTCTTCTTCCTCTTCTTCATCGTCATCCTCATCTTCCGCTTCAGATACTTCTTGTCCGAGATCCTTCAGGCGTTGCTGGAGAAATCAATGAGTCACTTACATGCACGTCAGAGTTTGGGTAAAGGGGTGACTCACCTTGTCCTGGTTTCTCTTCGCTTCGAGGTCCCCAAAGACAATGAGAAGATCTTCTAGTTCGGACTGTGCCGCCTGGCGTGCTTCTTCCTTCTCGCTGGCCTCAGATCGGGCCTTCTCAAGCTCTTTTCGTACAGCTTCCAGGGCTGCTGCCGTCTTCTGAGCTTCTGCTTTAGCCTGCTCGACCTCGCTCTCCGCCTTCTCAATCCTCTTTTCTAGCGCAGCGTGTTTGTCTGAGCTGTCATGGCGCACGGATTGCAGATCTTGCGAAGATTTTTCTATGGTCGACTTCAACTCGGACTGTAACCCTTGCTTGGTGGTCTCATGCTCGGCGATTTCGGCCTTGTGTTGCTGCTTGATCTTGTCGATATCCGACTTCAAAGTCTGAATTGTGTCATTGAGGCCGGACACTTCATGCGCGTGCTTCTCGGTGTTCGCACCGCTGCCCGATTGGAGGTCCTCAATTGTTTTCTGCAGCTCGGACACTGAGCTTGCATGCTTCTCCGTATCCGCATCGAGCTTGGATTGAAGGTCGTCAATCGTTTTTTGCAGCTCAGACAGTGATTTTGTATGTTTCTCTTTATCCGCATCGTGCTTGGATCGAAGATCATCGATCGTTTTGTTCAAGTCAGACAATTTCTCGACATGCTTGACCTTCTGCGCATCAAGTTCAGATTGGAGCTTTATTGAAGTCGAGCTCTGAGCGGACAACTCTGCCGCATACTTCTCTTGGTTGGTTTGCAGTGCGGATTGAAGGTCATTGATCGTCTTTTTCAAAGAAGATAGCTCCTCGGCGTGTTTTCCTTTCTGTGCGTCGATTTCGGACTGGAGAGTACTAATCGTCTCGCTCTGCGCTGACAATTCTGCGTGCTTGTGTTTGCTAGCTTCAAGCTGAGACCGTAGGTCTTCGGTTGTCTTGTTCAGGTCAGACAACTCAGATGCATGCTTTTGCTTATTCGACTCGAGCTCGGACTGAAGTTTGCTGGCTCTCTTTTGTAACTCAGACACTTCAGCGGTGTGTTGTTCTTTGTTGGACTCGAGTCCCGCCTGCAGAGATTGGATCGTGCTGTTGAGGTCCAGAACCTCAGCCACATGCTGTCCCTTGACCTTCTCGGCCTCGGAACTCAATTTCTGAATCGTTGCCTTCAATTTAGCAATTTCGCCTACATGCTGATCTCGAAGTCGAGCAAGGTCGGTTTCCAGAGACCGGATATGCTTCCGTAGGTCAGCTGCCTCGCCGTCATGATGCTTCTTGGCGTGATAGAGCTGCCTCTCGTAATCAGCTGCAGTTTCCTTAAGGCGTTTTTCACAAGCTCGAATCTGCTCCTCATGCTTCCTTGAAAGTTCGCTTTGGTCGCGCTTCTGCTGCTCCTTCAACGCCGCGATATCCTTTTCGTGACTTCTTTTGAGCGATTCGGTAACTTGCTGTAATTTGGTGGACTCTACAGCAGTAGAATCTCGAGTCTTTCGGTGTTCTGCTTGCTCTTGCTCAAACTTTGACTGCAAAGCAAGCAGATCCTCTTCCAGCTTCTGTACTACATTGCCTTTCTCTTCGATTTCCGCTCGAAGAGTATCAACTAGCTCACGTGATACACCTCTTTCGACTCCGTTGGTGATGATGGATATCTCCAGTTCGGGCTCTCGGTCGATTGCACGAGTCAAACGACTGAAATTGTCCTTCAAGAATTCGATGAAGGCCCGATCGAAATAAATCTCCGGCAGCCCGCCATCGGATTGTGCTCCAACTGTCTGTGGTAGGACCTCGAAGTCACGTACCAAAGGAGCTTCTCTAAACCGGGTGATCCGGTCAATGTATTGTTCTCTCCCCAATTGATCGAGAATCAACTTGTGCAATGTCTTGCGAGGTATAGGCGAGTCTTTGGAGGAGAATTCATATATAATTCCCAGTAGGATGGTGCAGAGGCCGGGCACAAGCACATTGGAGACCCCACGATGTTTGACCTCCTGGAGTAAACTCTGAATGCTGCTGCCCTCGCCTAGAAAATCATTCACAGCATCTGGCTCCTCATATAGCCAACCACAAAGCAACATCAAATACCCAAGGGTGATACGCTCATCGTCGCCGCGCTGCACACCGGTGATCAGGTTGCCCACTATAGTCTGAATACAGGTGATCACTTCTTCGCCTTGTTCAGCATCACCCTCGGTCACTCCCATAGCAATTTCCTTTGCTTCGGCGTTCTCCCAAAGCAACTGGTACATGAGTACAGCCGCCATCCAGGTTTGATAAGGATCAGCGTTGCCACGAGACTCTGGTGGGGTGAGTAGAACGGATAGAATGTTCGGGATCTGGTCTTCGCCGCTGACATGGCCTTGAATCGCCCGGCCCAATACATGAACGCGGATTCCAGAATGGTTCGCAAAGAATGCCTTTACACACTCACAGGCAGCTAGACGCGCGTCTAGGAGCGAAATAGGTGCAGGCTCTAGTGTCAGTTTGAGCAAGGCTTCGATCACATTGATCGGCTGAGTCTGCTTGACCTCCGCGGTGCCATTAGCAGCAACATTATTGGCCGGTTGTGGGCCCCAGACTACCTCCACATCACCGAATCTTTCCTGTAGTGGTTTGTTTGCACGGATAAGGTCTGCGCATGTTGCAAGTGCCTAGGAAAGTAAGCATCGTGCTGAAGGCAATGTAAATTAAAGAGATCCAACCTTGGCTGTCACGTTGACATTGAATCTTTGACCGAAAGCTGTGCTTAACACTTGCTCCATAACGCCATGGTTCCAGAAAGCCATCTGGTTTGCAGGAGTGTTAACTCCTCCCTTTACAAGGAAAAGCTGGATAATGACCAACAGTCCCCAGATGTTCTTATCACGGTGAGCGAAGGTCCATTGCAGGGTCTGGTCTTCGGGCTCCTGGTCTTGATTTGCGTCGGCAAGAAGCTTCGCTAGTCGCTTGACACAACCCGTTTCACGGAAGTATGACTGGTTCGAGATGTTGAGCCGTAGAAGATTGGCAAGTAGAGAGAGGCAATCTTCAACGACTTCCGACCCATGAGTCAATGCGCCTTCAGCGTCTATCAGGGAGAATAGAAGATCGAAGGCATTCTCGAAGGCAACAAGTTTCTGGAATTCCTCCGATGCTGGCGTGAGCGCGATGAGAAGAAGCAACGCCTCTAAGGATAGCAACTATGCATTAGCACGGGAATTCAAAAAGATTTCTCGATTTTGCGGGGAGCGTACCATTGCGCACCGGTTCTCGAGAATCTCCCAATGCGCTGACGAGTCTCGGGATACCCAGAGGCGCAGTCAGAATACACTCCTGTGTCCTTTCCGGCCGCGCACTAGAAATTTGAAACATCAATTGCAAGGAATAGAGGCGAGAGTAGAAATCGCGTGTATCTAGCAGATCGAGGAGCGCGGTGATATTGTCTTGTCGCTTCCGCCCAGTCAGCAATGCCTAACGGAACACGTGGCGAACACCGAACCTGGGTGAATTCATCTGACAACCAGAGAGCGATTTCGTCGGACGCTTCGGGCTGGATCCAGACTATGTTAGCGCCTTTGGTTGATCAGGGTTGTCAGAGAGAAGATGACCAACACTATTCTCGTCGGGGGTGAACAGCATCAACAAGGTCTCCAGGACCACCTTAATTGTGTCCACATCCTCGCGGTCATTTCTCAAACAACTGATCAACGGTCGCAGTGCGCCCGAAGCAACAGAAGCTGGGTAAGTTTTCGAAAAGCTTCTGAGTCCTTGAATGGCTGCTCTTCGATCTTCCAACAAAGTGGCACTCTGGAGTCGACTACTGAGAGTATTGATGGTGTCCGTAGCCGTTTGTTTGGCCGGAGCCTGCGATTCGAGGATTCGGAACATCGCAATCGATAACTCGTAATTTCATGGTCACCACCGGCCGTGGGCGTAGAAGGGTAGAAGCATTGAGTGGTCTTGAGGGTCTGAGTGTCAAAGAAAATTGATAGCGTTGAGTCCTCGATCGGCTGAGTTGTTCTCTCCGTTATGGAGCTGCAGCTGGACTAGTTCCGACAGCTAAGTTTAAACTAGCCTAACCCAGAGGCGGAGGCGGAGGCGGCGGCGGCGACGGTGCATAGGAATGACTCGAAGCCAAGGGCTCGCGCTAAGCATCCGGAACCGCGACAAAAGAAGCGCCGGCTCCCCGGTTCTTTCAAAAGTCAACGGCTGACTGTCGCAGAGACTTTCAAAGACCTTTGCCGTCGTCGTCTTTCGCACTCCTTTCACCGGCCCCATTTCTTTGTCTTGCTGGCTCAGGCTGGGTGAAGTGGGAATTGTTGCTCAACATAATCAAGCTCGCGCGACCGCGAACCTTGTCCCCAACACGAATCCCCAGTCACTTCTGCCGATCTGAGGCCTCGAGACAGCCGATGCAGCGCATCCGCGAAACAATTTAAAACTACATATTTCATTTGTGAACTTTTCTACCTTTTTGTTTGATATATAACAGCAGCCATGGGTGTCCCAGCGCTTTTCCGATGGTTATCCAACAAGTACCCAAAGATCATCTCTCCTGTCATCGAGGAAACTCCCTATGAAGTCAACGGCGAAGAGGTTCCGGTTGATACCACGCGCCCCAATCCAAATGGCGATGAAATGGACAACCTGTATCTGGACATGAACGGTATCGTCCATCCCTGTACTCATCCCGAAGGAAAGCCTCCTCCGGCGAACGAACAGGAGATGATGGTCGAGATCTTCAAGTATACCGATAGGGTGGTCAACATGGTCCGGCCCAGAAAACTTCTCATGATTGCTGTCGGTAAGTGAAACGCGTTCACCCTGATTCTACAGTGGAAATCGGCCTTGTGTTAACACTTATCGCAATTCAGATGGAGTCGCGCCACGTGCGAAAATGAACCAGCAACGAGCACGTCGTTTCCGTTCGGCTCAAGAAGCTAGAGAGGCGGATGAGAAGAAGGAGGAGTTCCGAAAGATGCTTGCGAAGCAGAACGGTAACAAGCAGGACGAGGATCTTTCGGAACAAGTCATCCAGAAGACTTGGGACAGCAATGTTATTACACCCGGAACTCCTTTCATGGATATTCTTGCTGCCGCTTTGCGCTACTGGATTGCTTACAAGCTCAACACCGACCCGGCTTGGGAGAAGGTATGATTTAGGTCTCTTTATTCGCTTGAGTTCGGATCCGCTAATCATAATAGCTCAAAATCATTATCTCCGATGCGACTGTACCAGGTGAAGGAGAACACAAGATCATGGAGTTCGTCCGGTCTCAGCGGGCGGATCCCGAGCATGATCCTAACACTCGCCACGTCATTTATGGTCTGGATGCAGACTTGATTATGCTGGGTCTTGCTACTCATGAGCCTTATTTTCGAGTTCTGCGAGAGGATGTGTTTTTCCAGGAGTCCAAGCCACGGACATGTCGCCTGTGCGGTCAGCCCGGCCATAAAGCGGACGAATGCAGAGGGCAGGCAAAGGAGAAGAGTGGAGAGTTTGATGAGAAGCAGAAAGGATCCTCCCTCAAACCATTCATTTGGCTCAATGTTGGTATTCTACGAGAGTATCTTGCTGCCGAGCTGTATGTTCCGCAGCAGCCTTTTCCCTTCGACTTGGAGCGTGCCTTGGATGATTGGGTCTTCATGTGTTTCTTCGTAGGAAATGACTTCCTTCCGCACTTGCCATCATTAGACATTCGCGAAAATGGCATCGACACGCTAATCGCAATCTGGCGCGACAATATCCCCGTCATGGGCGGATATTTGACTCAAGATGGGCATGTCGACCTGAAAAGAGCCCAGCTTATTCTTCAAGGACTGGCGAAGCAGGAAGATGCTATTTTCCGCCGTCGTAGACAAGCTGAGGAGAGGAAGCTTGCAAACGAGAAGAGGCGCAAGCAGGAAGACCAGGCGCGTCGCGAAGAGCAGGCGAAAAGACAGCGAAGAGGCTCCCCTAGCTATGACACTCACGAATCACCCACTCCGAACCGAACCCGCGGTAGCGCAGATGCAGCACCTCCAAGTGGAGTGGAGCTGATCACACCTGCTCGCGGAGAACTAACGCGGGAGGCGAGGGAATTGACTCACAGCATGGTGGTCAACCGTGGAGCAGTGTATAAGGCTAATATGGCCAACAAGAGCGCCGCCGCTATACTCAAGAGCAAGATGATGCAAGGCTCGCAGGAGGGATTGGCTTCGAACGAGACCGAGGAGTCTACACCGGGGGAGTCTGAAGCAGCAGACGACAAGATGGATCAGGATCAAACCTCACCTTCGGTACTTGGTAAGAGAAAGGCCGAAGCAGATGCTGCGGCGACTCCAAGCAAGGACTCCCCGAACACACCCAAGGACGATGAGATGCCCCCGGACAATGTTCGTCTCTGGGAGGAGGGATATGCTGATCGATACTATGAGCAAAAGTTCGGGGTCGATCCGCAAGACAAGGAGTTCCGTCACAAGGTCGCGCGAGCGTATGCTGAAGGCCTGGCCTGGGTCCTTCTGTATTATTTCCAAGGATGTCCTTCATGGACGTGGTATTACCCATATCACTACGCACCCTTTGCGGCCGATTTCGTGGACATTGGTGAAATGGAGTTGTCGTTCGAGAAGGGAACGCCCTTCAAACCTTTCGAGCAACTGATGGGTGTGCTGCCAGCTTCATCTAATCATGCCATTCCTGAGGTCTTCCACCCGCTGATGAGCGATCCCGAGAGTGAAATCATCGACTTCTACCCGGAAGATTTCCCTCTCGACTTGAACGGCAAGAAATTCGCTTGGCAGGGTGTTGTCTTGCTGCCGTTTATAGACGAAAAGCGGTTGCTAGATGCCATGGCCAAAAAATATCCTTTGTTGTCGGATGATGAGAAAGCTAGAAACACCCCTGGTCAGGAAGTACTGATGATAGCTGACAGTCATCCTGTATACCAAGACCTCGTTGCCAATTTCTATTCGAAAAAGCAGGGCGCCTCCAAGTACAAACTCAACATGCGGGCAAGTGAAGGACTGGCCGGCGAGGTTGAGCGCAACGAGACATATATCCCACACAGCTCGCTGGTGTCGTCCCTTGAGGAATATGGCATGCCGTCTCTCGAGCAGGATCGATCTCTAACGTGAGTACCATCTTCACTTCTAACCAGTATATCTTTCCTGTTGTCGTTAAATGTACTGATCTGACGTTTTTTAGTGTCAATTACGAAATTCCCAAGTCAAAGAACATTCACAAGTCCATGCTTCTTCGAGGTGTTAAGCTCCCGCAACCGGCTCTCGACAATGGGGACATCCAAGCCGTTAAATCTAGAGCTCAGCATTCGGGTCGATCATTTGGTGGTGCACCTTTTCGCAATGGCAGAGGCGGTCGCATGAACTATGCCAGCAACCGAAACGATAGCGACCGCCCGAACCCGTTTGCAGCACACCTTGACCCTAAGTTTGCGCCCCCTGGCAGTTCTAGTGCGCCGATGGGCATGTCTTCCGGTTGGGCTCCTCCTGGCTCAGGACACGGAGGCTATTCTCGAGGACCGCCACCTCCTCCCCGTGGTGGCTCTTACCACCGTGGCGGGCACTACTCGGGCCAGCAGCACCAGAACGCGCCCGGGAATAACTACGATTATTACGGACGAAGCCAGCAGGGTTACTATCAGCAAGGGTCCTATGGTAATAACTCCGGTAATCAGTACCAGGGTAGACATGGCGGCGGCGGTGGTAATGGTGGGTATGGCCGGGGAGGGTATCAAGGCCGGGACCATTACTCTTCGCGAGGCTCTGGTGGTGGATACGGTCGCTATTAGTGTTTCACGGCCATGGTCAGATCCGCTCGGGTTTGTGTCTCAGGTGCCGATCGTACCTGATCTAGTTTATGTTATGTATGACCCTTGGTGGGGGGTTTTTTTTGTTTGTTTTTTTTTTTT